TGGGTAATTAGCGAACATTCATCATTCGTTGGACCACGGTTACCTTGTCCCTTGTACATAACACTTCGTGTAAATAAACTATGTGCCGTTTAATGAAGCATAAATTGTATAATCTGTTTTAGTCACGTTCCTCTGTACAGATTTTGTTTGATATCTGCTTCTCATTAACCTTAAGAAGTATGTCTTTAGTGAAACAAAGTATGAAGTATGATTACAAGCATAAAATAAGTCTCCTCATTGTGTCGCCGGCACAAGGAAAAAAGTTGGATCGGCGAAATCTGCAAAATTTTTAACTCTCTATCTTTTCATATTCTCAATAAAGTATGAAGATGTGTGTAAAACATAAATTGTGCGAGTGGAAATTCTCCATAGCGTCGACTAATTAGGTGTTATACTTACTTATGAGCGTTACATAAGTGTAACTTGATAGTTGTCTAACAACGAAAAAAAATGATAGAAAGAATGTAGAATGGCAAGTAAGGTACAGGTAAAACAATGCTATTAAGAGGGATATGATTGCCATCATTATTATTATTATTGACTGGAATGGAGTTGAGAAAATCCAGATTACGAGGAAAAGGACTGACCGACGGAAATTATACTAGAGGTCTGTGGTAGTTGTGGTACTTACTTGATGTTCCTCCTCTGTCGGCCGATTACACTTTATTAATGCCTTCCGTTTTTGTAATTAATGCATCATGCTTAATACTAAGGTTTGCGAATGGTATTCAATATTTTCAATATGCTAAGTATAAATTTCGTTCTGGTATATTTAATTCGCAAAGTATACCTGACAATCAAAATAAGCCATTGAATTAATGCGTAAGTAGAATGTATGTGTATATATGTAATTGTGGCTATGGCAGTGTTGGTCAAACGACCACCATCAATCCAATTTATCTGCCCTTCGATAGAAAATGGTTCGAAGCTGACGTGGAAAACAGATCTACCTATGAAACAAAACTAGTTAATGGTTGTTTATTATTATTAAAAACTTGTAATAACTGAATAAGTTGAGTTGGAATGGTGGTAAGTGACAAGCGTTTGTCGGTGTCGGTAGTTCAAATTAAAAATTGAGATCCATAATGTTCGTTTCATGTCCAGTCAGCAAAGGAAATGATTGAGATATTTAATTTTTTGCTCATTGCTGAATTTCTTTCGAGCAACCCAAAACTAATACAGCACAATCAGAATCACGTATATGTACATACACACTCGTCTATTGTTCCTTGCGCTTTATTCGATGTCCGTGTACTGCATGGGTTCTGGCTAAAAACTGCAAAGAAGCAGTAATACGCGTAAGGCACGTCGCCTACATGGCCAGACAACGGAGTCAATTTCACTGATGCACGCAAGTAATGGAAAGCGAGAAAATTATTTATCAAATTTGGAATAAGGATTAACCAAAAATCTGTTTTTAAATTCCACCTTGCAATCAAATCCATGAAAATTCTCATGGTAAGAAATGTCTCGTTAGTTAAAACTCAGGTCTCAATAATTGCGGTTGTTAAGAACAGTTCCCCAGATCAGCTACATACGCTAGACGATCCTTCCTTTTCATTTTGCAGGTGCTGGACACATATTTAAACTATTTAAACTATGAACAGTATTAATTTAGTTGACTTTGTATGTCCATGATTAGAGTTTTAAGGTTCGTATGTATTTCCACCAGAAGGAACGATATCAAATTGTGAATCTCCATAATAATGACTGCAATCCCGTCATCCGTTCTGCTCCAGTGACCTTTGAGTTGAGTGAGACATTGCACATTTCACACCTAATTTCATGCCTCATTGGCACCAAACAATGAGTAAATTTTCGTTCTACCTACAGTCGTCGTCGAGTCAAACTAGTAAAGTTATTTAATAATTTGTAGGTGTGAAATTAATCATGATACTCGGGTACACAAATTTCCCAGCAATAATGCGATCAATATTTTCAAGTGCACAATCCTTGGAGTAATAGCATTAATATAGTAAATGCATATGTATAATAGCACATACATATGCATAATAAAGTGTTTTATAATGAATTATATAAGTTTAGTTCATGCACTATTCATCTTACGAATCGGCTGTAACTGTTGAGGTAGGTAAAAATGTACCCATAACTTGGCATAAGATAACACTGTTGATAAACAATTAATAAATGTTGACCACAATATGTTAAAGAAATGGGGTCGGCTTGATAATGGGCTAGTTACAGCTCAGGCCTGTCTGATGATATAATGCAAGGAACGATTGACCAAAGTATGCAAGTAGGAAACCAGGAAGTGACCGCAGTTGCTTGTATGCATTTGTCTGGTTTGTAGGATCGACGAAAATGTGTCAGAACCATTGGTCATGGCAAATACTTAATTAAAGTGTTTTCAACGCCGAACCACTTCGTCCACAACCTTCCCCTCTAATTTAAAACATTTGCTTTTAGTTTCACCCAACAAGGTGCATGTACAATAGAGATGACTTAAATAACAAAATATGGTGACCATTGCAAACTTCTTGGCTATTTGTTCCCATTTTACTATTTGTACATTGGAGTTTATTTGTTTTGAAGATGATGCCTACCTATTTATTTATTTTAAATAAAAACGCAGAAATGAATTAGAATATGGCATATTGAAGCTTGGGATAATAATTGGCAGACCTAAGGAACTCTGCCTCGTTGACTACCTTGTGAAATAGTGCATGACATACAAATTATGAATTTAATGCCATTGCATCACAAATCCTCTCCCGTTAAGAAATTACAGTACAATTCTGAAAGTAATATTACTCATCTTTAGTGACGACGATATATATAGAACACAAATGTCGATTCTGGAAGATTGGAATACGAATCTGGTCTAAAAATGGCATTTGAATTGAAATAATACGAAGGAGAAGGTCGAAGGTTTGCGTTTTCCTTTCGACAGTTTGAATTTAGTCAACATTGTAAATTTACATTTGAATTTAGATAGCATGCACCTTAGTCTCCTTGCCAAACTTAAAATACGTATGTTTTCCTCTTCAACTTCAATTCGTTCAACGAATTTGGAGTAATTTCTCAAGAATACTCACTGCCGTCACCACCAACATCATGAAGAAAGTAAAAACGTAAGCGTTTACATTTGCATTTGATGCAATGCCTTTTAAGACAAACCGGCATTTTATGTGATGATTTCCCGAGTAGCGTACGGAATTCGACAATAAATATTATGATGATGCATATGTATGTATATATGCTACACTTTTCAGAAGAAATTGAAATTTGTTTTATTCCTTAACTGCTGAACAACTTGAAGCGAGTGGCCAAATAAATGTGATACCATCACATTTTAAAAATTCTGATAAATTTGTTCCTTAAAACTAATATGATACCTGTTTGCATGTAATTTTCCTCTCTACGTGGTGTATGTGAACAGGCGGACGTTTGTGCCACCGTAGTAAGTATTATATAAATAAGTGGGGAATTTGTGAAAGATTATAAGATGTAAAGTTAAGGTTTGTTGCATATTATCCGTAATTCGTGTAAATAGTTCATGACGTGCCGTGAGCGGAATTGAGGTTAAACTTTTTAAAGAAATGAAAAGTATTTCCTAGATGACATAATAGCCATCCATCCATCCATCCCAACTTCTATACCAGTCTGACTGCTATCAACACCATTGTATCACGATCACTCATCTCGCAGCACAATTTTAATAAGTTTACTACGAATTTCTTTACAAAAGCAAACTTGTAACAAAAGGTTGTCTGTTATAACTTGGCAGTGCGTACCCTGAACCTGAACTAAATATTTTTGGAAGTGGACGATATGAACATGAATGGCTGGGACACTTCAACTGCTTTTTGCGCCTGTTGGAAAAGAGGTCATTCATTTCTATTTTATCCAACCAAACTTGCTTCAAACGTGCGTATTGATTGATTATTGGATATATTTTGTGCGACACTTTTGACGGAAAGTATATGCGGACAGAGATGCAATGTACAAATGCATTGGTTATAACCTAATAAGTTGAACATATATTAATGACAACTTCATAAAAGTACAATTAACACGCACGGAAAAATTAAACTACGTAATCCCTCCAGATTAAGTTGTACTTATTATTTGACCAAATAATGCATGACAACTATACCAACTGTATTTTTTATATTGGATCTGGATTCATGTTAAATAATATATTTTGTTATTCCACTGACCGAGTCTCATCCCATCATCTCATCATCCTCTCTTTTTTATGAATAACGAGTGACCTACTAACGAAACCAATTCAAATGTACGCATATAATATGCATTACCTTACTGCCATAAATAAGCGAACCCTTGCTGCTTCTTCAATAGGTTTCAGCGTACAAATGCACCACTACAGCATCACCACACGTGTTTCTTAAGGGACTGAATCAAGTATTATTATTCGCATACCGTGCCGTCTTAATTTAAAGGTACATACGCAAGAATGCCATAAGGCTTCCACCACAGCCATCATAAATACTTGGCGAAGTCGGAAAGATGCAGGTACGAATAAAAGTAAAAGGATTCAAAGAAAAGATTACATTGCGAATGAAATGGAAGACGCGTAAAAGGGAGTTGAGATGCAAACTGATGATGTTCCTCCATCTCATCCTGTCGTGATTCATGTTTGGCCTATTTTTCTTCCTGCTTTTTCAAAACCATTCTTCACCATTCTGTGCTTAGTTGTAGTCGCACGGTAAGCGTCGGTGTAAGATTTTTCTTAAAACGTTGATAATTTTTCACGTTAAAAATTTGGAGTGGGCATTTCTTGCAATGTTTTTATTTTTTAATTGCGAACTGCAAATTTGTATGCTTAAACGTCGTCTGCAGATGATGAGGCAGAGATGAAAGCGCAGTTAAATACATACAAACGTGAGATATATATGTACGAAGGAAGAGATGATGTATTTCTGTACGTGCATGCATGCATACCGAGTGAGCAAAATGCAAACGCACATTGTATAATATGTATCTCACAAAGAGGGAAGTTAAATGGATGCAAACATTAAAATCTGTTAAGACCAGACCAGTAAAGTTATTCCGTTAGTAGACCAAGACGAGAATGAGAGGAAGACATCCTGCTGTTTAAAGTTGACAATTTCTCTGTTTAATTTGCACCCTGCTTGCTATGTGACTTGTTTGATGTGCTTGAGAGTGAATCTTTGTTCGTCTGAATGAATGATGTGGAGTTTGCTGTCGTCTTTTGGTATGTACCTCTTCGTCTATTTGGCTAGGGTTGAATACGTAAATTTTGCCTTGCATATTTTTATAAGTACGTGGTTATACAAGAGACTTAATATATGGTTAGTCACATTAATGTCTTGAATGTCTGAACAAAATTGTAAACATTGAAGATGTTTTCATTTTTAGTTTAAGAGAATTTATTCAAATTTTAAGGCAGACTATTTTGAACTGGATTTCTAGCTATTTCCACTAAAGTGCTGAATGTGATTTGACATTTGTGAGAACCAGAAGTGCCGACTGTTTGATAATCCATTTCCGTTCGTGTATTTACACGCTTTGCCTCAACCAGAATTTTATTGTCTCGTGCTGAGGACAATTAAGTCGTTGATACACATGTGAATGCATAATTGCACATACTGCACCCGTGCCCACGAGATAAAACAGGATGTATGTAACTTCCCGCAGGTGTACATATGTACGAGGCTTAAAAATTCGCACGTGCATATAGTTCATAGTGTGTGGTGCGAGTCTTTGGCTGATTTGCAATTTCACTTTCATTTAAAATACTGCAAAATGTACTGCGTGTGTATGCAAAAATGCATACATATATTAAGTAGGTAATAGGTATTAGCATAACTTTAATGAAATAAGTGATGGGACAAAACGATCAATTGATAAGCACAACTTAATTCGACTTATCCTTATTTTTTTTATATTTACATAATAATGGTGAGTAATTTTTTGTCCTAATTTTGAATTTTAATGGTTTCTACTTTGTAAATGACATTTCCTGGTTTGCTGCAAAACAAGGCATACTCGGGGAATCGATTGAATAGATTTTATACCAAATTGGAACAAACTCTTTCCAGGTCAATAAATAATAGTGAGAACAGTCAATCTAATAGTATTAGCGGTTAGCCATACATACAATGTGATAGCAATTCTCAACTTTGTAAAAATACTGCTTAAATGACCATTATTCAAATATTGTGCAGATAAAAACTAGTTATTATTACTAAAATTATTGTGCGTTGACTTTATTACTGAATACACAAGTCTTTGTGTGGCATAAAATATTTAATATGTGAGTTCCTTTTGCATTTTTTGTCTGAAATAATAATTAATGCATTTCATGTCATAAACCGCACCTCAAGAAACAGAATGAATATTTGTTGAAAATATTTTACATCATGAGGACGCGATGTTTTATCACTGTTTCTTTTCAGTTCATATTATTGCTAAAATAAGAATTTAACGACCGACTTCCATGTCATCCAAAGCATTTGTGCCCCAGCCATACTGAATCATTTTTATGGGTATCAAGGGCAGTAAATACATTATATGATCGAGATGCTTTAATTTGTCAAAAGATCTCGCATATCCAATGACACTTTGAATATTTTGAATCACTAATCAATGCACCAAGCAGTAATAAACCAAACAGGCAAGATGCAGTTGTGCAGCGTTTACACACAATCCCGTTATTTTATTGGCCAAGCAGTGTTACCTGCATGTGTGTGTATCCCCATATTACAAATTTAAGATCCTCACTCACACACTCTTCCTTTCTCTTTATTATGGACGAGCGCGGACACGACATTTTTTTTGTCCACGTTTAGAATGCGATAACTAAATAAAAAATCCCAAAGGTATCTCAAACTCCTCAGATGCATAAAGTAACCAGTTTAAATATTGTGCATATGTGCATAATGTTCAAAGTTATGTTATGTATGGCCCTAAGGGTGCGCACTTGAGCTCGGACAAATCCTGTGGATGTGGACAGGGTAAAACAAACATAATGCAATGCAAGTTGGCAGGAATTACCATTTTCAGATATCGCCAGTTTCAAAACTGAAATTATTCGAAGGTTGTAAAGTTGTAATAATAAATAGTAGTACACTTATTTGGACGTCTGGTACTATTTTCGTAGCATTAATAATAAATACCATGATTCCATAATAATCCACGAATTCTTCTTCAAATTAATTAAACAAACTGAAAAACGCATAAAAACAGTTTGTACATATGTACATGAGCAAGCAAAAACAGGTACTGCCATTCTAATTTGCAGAAAGTGTTACACGCAAGTTACAGAGTTTATTCGCTATACGACGTTATTAAGGTAATCTCAATTTGCACCACCGTCACCATATGAATGCAGGTCTGCGTACCTAAATGCATACGTTTGTACGCTATTATGAATTCAACGCGTATGCGTTTTTATGCCATTGTTACTTAACCTGTTAAATAATACTCACTTTAGCCCACTAACTAAGCTGCACCTCGCCAATAATAATACACAGCCAAGCAAGATAATGAATGCTGTGGCTGGCTGGCTGGCTGGCTGGGAGTGAATGGCAGTGGTGGTGGTGGAATAGGTAATAATGATAAAAAAGTTGGTCAACTTTCACTCTCTTCCTCATCCCTCGCCATTGTTATCACGACTCAACAATGGGCCGTCAACCTACATTTGCAAAACACGAAGGCAGGAACACACTCTGCAAATAAATGCTACTCGACTGTATTCCCTCTCTGTTAGATAACATGACTTATCCTCAGGTAAGGGTGTAATCCAACGTGATGGCAGGACACTTTTGCATAGGGATTGAGTTTGCACATATTTTGTAAGCAACATCTATGCGATGGGTCTGTGAAAGCATATATCTTGACGGGTTAGTGGTTACAAATATGAAGAAAATATATGAAATACGACTGAAAATGGATATTCATATCCATTGCATCCAGAAAATCCGCATAGTACGTCTTGTATCAAAAAAGTTGCCAGCCCTTGAATGAAAAGTAATTAGTGTAGTAATTTATAACACCATTAGCTATGTACATATGTGTTTATGATACTATGTACTTATATGATTTCAGACAATTGTAGGTTCTGAATCTGAATCGAACTTTTCGGTATGTATTGATGTATTAATTCGCAAGGTGGTACACATATCTACTTTTTGCTCATTTTAAAAATCCAGTTTTTACAATGATTCAACATTACGTGATGACATGAAATTTATAACAATAATTATTTACAATATCCTTAGACGATGCATCAAGTGTCTAATACCAAAAATTGTGCTTAATTAATAGCGTTTATATGTTTCACAAAGCTTACATATTGGGATTTAACTCTAGATTGTTATTGCATTATTGAGAATAGAACATGAACAGAAGTACAAATATTTCCTCCTTTATGTTCAACTTTGACTTGTATTTTTTTACCAAATCTATAAAAAATCTGAAATCGTGGTCCAAAATCCCTTCGTTGTAGATTCCAGCGTTCATATTTGCGATGTTACGACGTATGTGACAAAATTCAATACATATCCCATAAAATTCATGCTTAAAACGTTTATAGGTATTATCTACATGGTGACGATGTACTGAAATCTTGTAAGAGCAATAATTCGTACAGTACTATTTTTGCTGGACCTTCATCGTAAAATGTTAACTGGCTTTTGTCAGCCATTCAATATATTTTATTTTACGACCTACATTGTTGTTGCACATGGGAAATGAAACCTGGAGTTAGCTTCCTTATTTCACATGAACTTGGACGTCTTCCTTTGTCCAAATACTTACAAGTATTCGAATAGTAAATGTTTCGTTTACGCATGTCTTCAATTTATAATGCATTAATTTTCCAAATATTTACTCATACAGCGGATATTTGTAACAATATTAACGCAGAGATTATATCAAGCATTTAATTTTAGCCGAGTCTTACATCATAATTATTATTAGTAACCCTAAAAAACATTAATTCATTCTTCTGCTTTTCAAAGTACATATTCTTTAGTCAGAGCAGAAAGAAAATCGAGAATGTATGGTCACATTCCTACATTAATTTTATTTCTTTTTTGAGCTTCCAACAAAACCATCGGCTTTTGATCAATTTTATTAACTGGAAATTTCTACTCAGAGCTTCATTGACTAGTAATAATTTCTGTCAATACAGCATGTTGTATGTGAATTGATGCATTGATGTAAGACTTGTATTTTTCCTATTTTGTGTGTTATATAAATCCCTTGTATTCACCCCACTTAATTTTCCAATGGGAATGGGACAGGTTCAAGGTTTTCCCAATTCAATAACAGACGTGCTGATGATGAACGAGACCATACTGAACGTATGCACGTATTCATGCCAAACTGAAATCAAGTTTTCCTTCCTTGCTTCCTTTTTTTGCTTGATGAATATTATTGTCGGCTTGCAATTGCAAATTACAATGCGTTTAAGCAGTACAGCAAAAAAACATTGGGATGATAAGTAATGTGCTCTACTGCTGTGTGGTGCTGATGGCGTGAGTGTGGTAGCAAATGTACGTATGTATACGTATGCAGATATGTACCAGAGTTGATCTGCGTCAAAATTGATTTGTTAGATTCTGATTTAAAATTGTAATTTATTTATATTTAAAAATCGGTTCGGTTACATTTAAATTGCAAATTGTCATTTTTGAGGTGAGTTGACAAGGTTCAAATTCAGTCAAAATCTATTGGATCCGCAGATATCGCTCATCATGCCACATGTATAAATTATTTATTTATCACTCGCCCTCAGTCAGTCAGTCGCCAAGTTTTTTGTAAAAGATCAAAAAAATTTGCAGCGATTATTTTATTTGTAAATTATTTGTATGATAAAAATACTGTCACTGTTTTATAACCGTACCTTCAGTATGTACAAAAAACATGAGATCATGAAAATATTTTTTACTAAATTACGATAAGATACTTTTCATAAGTTTGTTATTCATAGTTTTTGAATGCACAGTGGAACGATAATCCATGCGAAAATAAGAAATATGTACGGGTAACAAGCTTTTTTGGCACAAAATGTCTTTTGTTTGACAAAACTAATCATGATGGTAGTAAAATAATTTGAGGTCGCAACTCCCCGCACTCTTCTCACAAGATACATCGTAGAATGAAATGTCACGGCATAACCGCAGCAGGTCACAAGATAAGTTAACCAGCGAAAGAGCAGTGTTTATCTGATAAGTATGATGCCATGGTTGGTCGACGTATGTATACTATGTAAGTCTACGTCTTTATACTTTTGTTATGTACACTTGATATGCATAAATCATATCTGCATGTACTATTATTTTATTATATGTAACCTGTGACCTCTCATTCTATAAATGTTTTAAATTATAAAATGACTGACGATCATTGATCATTCCAATTGATTATTGAGATCAAAGAAACCCCAACATGGGACTGAAAGGATTCATTAACACAATAATGCGACGACCAAGCACACAAATTTTGCTCTTCGTACATAACTGCATACACGAACATGAACATGAGCATGACTTGAGCTACTAGGAACACATTTTTGTCAGACATCAATATCAGATATAACTAACGAGAGCATCTACTTGTCTTTGCCGGAAAAGTTTACCTAAAGCTAGATACCTGTGTCCACAGGAGAGAACCAAGTCAAAACTTTGGAATATTTTATTGTTTTGAAGTTTGAGGGTTTAGTACAGCAGCGAACAGATGGATACAAGATGAAAATGAAATTTGAATTGTTAATAACGTATAGAATCGTTTAGAATTAAGTAGCGCCTTGCTGTGTGGCATAATTTTCCTCCTTATCGAACCAAGATGTATGTATTATAAATGTGTGGCAGCAATATTATTTTATTCCTTCAGCTTAATATTTAGAGCGGAAGACTTCACACGGTGAGACAAATTGGATTAACATTGGGATAGAGTGTGGTTATTTCGGATTAGTCGTTCTGCAAACTAACCCTACGTAATAAATTGGAACTTCATAGCGCGGATCAGTTGCAGAAAATAAGTTGTACGGGCTACTACTCGATTAAAATTGAGTTGTGCATAATAAATTATTTCAAAAATTTCATGGAATTTGATACGACTTTCCTCTAATATGTCAAAATTTCAGCTTAGTCCTATCGTTCCAAAAAGCTATGATTCACCGATAATATCAGCATAAAGATCAGTTAATTAATTCCGCTATGAAATCTCAAAGTTTAATTTATCTTTTTGAAGAAGAACGCATGCATTCTGGGCATGCTATTTATTGTAAATGTAACACTAGCTTTCGGAGCACTTATTCCTTCATCAGGTTTTTACAAATTCGATTAATTTGTCATTCTCAAGGATATTCATGTTCCTGTCGAACTGGAGTCGCCCAAGAACATTATCGGTCTTTTTGTGAGACCGCTCAAATAAAATGATATTAGACAATTTTTTGTTTCCAAAATAATTCCTTTATGATCTCCAGAAGGATTACTTTGCTTGTTAGATGCTCCGAATTCATTGAATATTTACGAAGGAAGCGATAACTTATCGATTTACTGTGTCACGGTAGGAACTCCGAAAAGAAGCTGTAATTGAAGAAGAAGGGGAAAGATCTTCAAGGAAATATATATTACCTACATGTATTTATATACATACGGACGTGGGGCACGTATATATGTATATACCTGTATATATGCACTATTGAGGGACCTCTTGATTGATCCTGTGGATAGTTCGTTTATTTGGCTCTGATTGAATAAGAGAGCGTGATGTTTGATTTGTCGAGTAATTTGAAACCGATCCAACCCATCGTAATCGTTTTTCATTACTATAGGATTTAGAACTACAAACCACAAATTTGTTCTATGTGCATGCTGGTTAAGGTGAGAAACAGAGAAGTTATTAATTTTCTTGACAAAGTAGAGATTCATGAAAATCACAAAGAAACATTGACCATGCCCACGTTAGCATATTTTCTATAAAATTCTCTTGAGAGATATTGCATACATTGTAAAATTTCACAATGTGTACAATATATAAATCCTTAGAAATATGCATATGCTCCATATTAACGTCTAAAGAAGTGAATCTCAATTTGCCCATACACTTACGTATGTACAAATTCATACGTGTTGCTTCTATAAGACTGTCGTATTCTACTGATTTTCACTCGTCAATTGTATCGTGAAATCTAAACTCAAATTAATTATCCAGCAACGTCAATGTCAAAACATGACGACGACGACAACGACGACGGTCGGTCCGGATGTAACCAGGTAATTTTCGTTCAGCGATTTGTCCCGTGTTCAAAGAATGAAATGAATCCTATCTCCCCAGAAATCACCACTCAAGGAGAGGGAGGAAAATCAACCCTTTCTTGCGGTCTTGGTCTTGGTCGGCGAGGTAAATTTGATCCGAATTTCACAGATCACATCTCTGATAAAGAGAACAAAGCATGTTTACCCACCAGCTCCTTTGTCACTCACGGATCTCTCACTGGCCAGAACTGAACCAGTCCGATCGACACCCTTCACAGAAATGGATTAACAATATGCAGGTTTAAATCTTAAAGCTTCAAATAAATGCTGAACTATATGCTCAACTCTTTGATTTATGCAGGAGACACTTATCATCCTCTCTTATCTTGGCTCGGTGCACTCACTCGACCTAGAATCTCAGAATCCGTAAAACCTCGTGAAGTAAAGGATATTGTACACTCGGTGAAACGCACATCTCGCGGCTGGAAATATGACATAGCAGTTCAATTTATTTCATCTATGTAAATGGAGCTCATTGAATCAATCAATCAAGCACAGAAAAACAAGGGAAAAGGCAGAATAAAAGATAATGCTTCTTCAATGTGCGAGCATGTACTAAATGGAGATTTCATGCCAGTTACGTGTATTACGACGCGTACGTATTTATTACATAAATTACATCAACAGCATCGTCAAATGATGGGTTTGCAGAGATAATTATTTATTAAGAGCCCGCAGAGTCACTTGCTATGTACATAGGTGCATATGTGTACATATATGAGTACATATGTGAATAATGGGGGAAACAACTAAATAGGTTCCACAAACTGGAGTATTGTACTGCCCAGTTAGTTCATTTGCATATATTCGTCAAGGAAGAACGAATACTCAGCGAAATTCCACGTGTGTTTGCAGAGGGAAATGGACCCCAGACGAAGAAGGACTTGAGGGTCCTTTTGTAACTGCATACCTGTGCTTGCCCAACTTCCACCCATTCATCGGACTGCTTGAACTGCTCAACTCACTCACCTTGCCCTTTTGTTCCTTCATTAAGCATTCATATGTCCCCTCATTAAACAGAAGAGTAAAATAAAGACAATCTTTTCATTATCTGACCCGTTTTGTGTTACGTCGTCGTTTACCAGTACGTTTTTTCGTGCGACGTAAAAAGTTTGTACATATGAAGGATTCCTCCTGAGCAAATTATTTACTCAGGGCACCATGCCATCATTTTAATTGTCTTTTACTTGTCCTATTTCGATGCATTTTCAATTTAACGGTCTTTCCTCATCTCATTTGAATATCAGTTTAGATTTGAAATGTCAAGTGCTTACACGATTGAGCATCTGCACTTTTGAAATCCCGTTTCTTTCTTGAGGACTCAAGTGCCCACCTTCTTGGCCAAAGTGACAAACGAACCAGGTGCGCTGACATGTTTTTACTCGTGTAAATTGATCACGTTATAATGTTTGACCAACTTGCCGTTGCGCAATGGCACCAAAGCTGCCACACATTTCGATCGCTACGGAAAATGGAGCATTAATTACTATTTAGTAAAACGATGAGAATTGATTTTGGCACTGCATTTCCACCGCTTGGCAAATGGATTAAGAGACCATGTCCGAGTAGGTGATGCGAAGATGGTTGGAGTGATTGTGCAATTTTTGTTCTGAAGAAAGTAAGCAGTGCACCCGGCTCCCCTCGCCCTGGTTTCATTCCATCCATTCTCTAATCCAGGAAGGGAAGCACAATTAAATGAAGGGCATGCCATCCTGAGCTCCAGACAGCAATACAAAGAATATCTGTACGTATGTACGTGTGGGATAAAATAGTTACCTTACGTGACCAGTGGTGGTGGTGAATTGAATAATCGCCTGCAGGCTGACTGTATGAATGTATAGACAACTTCTCTCTTCAAGATTTTGCAATTTCCGTATTTTTCTTAACTCTGTACAATGCCATGCATCATGGAGAGAGAGGAGGGTTTGCCCACATTCATAGCCATTGGCCTGTGCTTTGGATCATGTTACGTGACGAGACGAGATGCATTTATTTGTCCAGAGAAAGAGAACCGAGTGAGCTGGATGGACAGTGTTTCGCAATGCCCCTCCATCCTTGTCAGGACATTGAGAGAGTATGGACATCGGAAATCGACGACCACTTTTTAGGGACTGAAAGTGAAATAAAATCTAATCTGGATTTTTTGGGTTTTGGTTTTCTTTCGCAGTAAACTATTTGTGAATCCATTTTTCACAACTCATTATTTAATGTGAAAAAATATTAAAAAGATTCTGCATTTTAATAAAATAAGCTTATTGAGTCAACCTACATATATTTTATCTCTTTCCAAGTGTCGATTATCTCATTCCTCGCGGAATTCCTTCCAGCTTATTTTTTATTCTTATTACATCTTTAAATAATTCATAATACGTCTGCTTCCCGAAAAATGGGTGTAATAATTCACATAAGACTCCGAGTTGAGTGCTGTCCTTGCTTTTGTCCAGCCGAGTACAAGTTTGCTCGAGTAGAATAAATGGATTTGGAAGAGTTTGTGCATGTTTAAATAAGGTGAATTAAATGAGTGGATAAACATGCCGGATAAATATCCACTTGAGGAGGATTCCGAGCAGACTTTCTCCTCTGGACGGAGCAGAGGAAGGAGCAGAAGAAGACGACGACGAGAGCGAGGAGGAAGGAGATTATTAAATATTGCAGTTAGGAAAACAAAACAATAACCGGCCCACAGGGGCTGCCTCCTCCGTGTCCTTTCGTCCTTGTTAAATATTCTGATTCCCAGAGACTTGCCCTCCCAACAGCCCAGCCATGTATACTCAGACCATCCCATGACGTATGCATATAGCTGGGAGGAAATTATTATGGCGAGGCATTTTCCGCCCCACTGCACACCCAAACATGCTTATGTGTTTCTTGTTTTGCCTCGTGGACTGAAATTTGGGAGAAATGCTACGCAAATAAAAGTGAGAGCAAGTGTAAAACTCTCTCCCCTGCTGCTTTTGCTCTTTGCTGCTATGGGCATAAGCAGAGAGTTATTTCACCGTTGGGGAAAGCAGAGGTTCTGTGGACAAATCTGAGCCAGATATGCAGAAAGAAGACGAGGAGACTTGTTGCTTTGCCCCTCGTTCGTCTCCCCACTCGACAATCTTTCCCTACTTGTTCCCTGCTGCTGATTAACGCCACACTAATGAGATTCTACTTCTGCCCCAGTTAACCCACACCAAGAAGAAGAATTTAATGTAAACGAGTAACACATACTTGGAAATCTCAAAGTACCCCGAAAAAGATTATCGAGTTGAACAGTGAAGTAAAATTCACATGACATTTCACTCTTCATACATACATCTTTGATTTCGAAATTCTTCATTGAGATGAACAAGAGCATAGAATTAGAATATCTAGTTCACAAACTTACATCTAAACAGCATAGCTGAACTAGGTCTTCTGGGAGAACTGAAATGGATGATCGGATGGGAAAATTGAGATTTACTCCAGGTAAAAAAATATGGAACTTAAAAAATGTCACTTTGTTTAGTATCCACCTCTCACTCTCTTTCTCTGCGTTGAATTGAATGTATAGATGAGTTGACATGAGATGAGATGATGCATGAGGACGACGACGATGTGATACGACGATCATAATAAATAATGACCATTCTCATTGTCCTCTCCACTCCTTCAATCCAACATTGTTGTAGTTCAGAGAGAGAGAGTAGTTCACACGTTCCGAGGACGACGATGCATTGCAAAAGAGTCCACCTCCTCAAAAGTCCGAATCCGGTTTCGCCAGTTTCTCCCAGTTGTGTGAGGTAGAGACGTAGTGGGTTCCATGTCATGCGGTAAATACTTGCATTATTCCACGCTGAATGGTGAATGGGATTGCGGCATCCCCTTTGTGTCCAAGGGATGATTATGATGATGATGATGATGCTTCTGCTGGGGCCCTTCAGTTACAGGGTCACTTTCTCCTGTATTCGAATTTTTCTCTCGGTTTTTTCTTGAACTGCTCTTGCTTGCATAACAAACATAGTACGATGCTGAGTCGTGAGTGGACAGAAGAGTGGACACTGAAAAATTCAGTGAAAAACTGTACACATTTTTGAAAACGATTGAATCATATTCAAAAGACTTTGGTTGTGGGATTGCTCGCTGTTCTCGTGTGAAAACACTGGGAGATTGGAAATTGATCTGTTAATCATCTCAACCCCAATACTTCTGTTGGGGAAGGGTAGGAACGACACAAAAATCGACGTAAAGGGTGAAGAAGAACGTCTTTGTCTTTAGGTGACGTTGATTAATCTGTAAATTATTAGTTTTTGCTAGTCGCAGCCTTGAAACAATGACGTAGGTATTAACAAATGAAACTTTGTGTGTTCGGGTACATAATGTGGGAATTGTGATCTTGTCGTCACTTTCCTGAGCAAACGTAAGGGGTGACTTTCATGCAAGAAATTTGATCCTCTTTATGCTCATTAACAGGGGAAATAGTCCAATTAGTTATTTTTATATTAAAATCAATAAAATACGAAGGGAAACATTTTCAGAAGTCTTAAATTGGAATTCGAATTATACATCGGACAAGAAAAGAAAGTATTAGGAATATTCGTGTATTACTGAAAACTTGCAGGCTCAAGAAGCCCCAACTTTTTCGTATAATTGAAAAGCATGGGGATTCCAAGTACGCATTAAAATTATCAATTAGGAAGCAAATGTGAGTTGTTAGAGTCAATGTCAAGTGAGATGAGATGAGATAAAGTTTGTTCAACTCTTATTTTTCAATGACACACCTATTCATCAGCTCCTGCTGGTGATGATGAGGATGACATGACACCAATTATCCGCTCCAATGTGGACAACAAAATCAGCAGAATATATGTTTACAAGTAACAGCTTTCGCCCATATTGCAGGTAAACGCTTCCTCCTCCTACAACGGTACACTGGCGTTTGTTAGGCTGCTTTAACAAATATATATAGTTCAGTAAGTGAATAATAAAGTACCATTCATGCTGCATGTACAATTTTAACTAGGCTGGTTGAAAAAAAAGTTTGCATATATCAGACAATCTTCTTACACATGTATGTGCAGATATGTGTATTAATACGGAGTCTGATCCCGTAAAATGTCAAAATTTATTGGGATTCCATCAGATTGAAATGCTCGCCAACGACGCAGTTGCATATGATATCCGTATATCGAGTAGATGGAGTAAAAAGGGTTCAGTTATATTTACTTGCGCGATGAGTGATGATGAGCGACCTTCATTTCTTTACTGTTTAAATATATCAATGAAATAAAACATTTCCCTGTTGGCCGAATGGCATTATTATATTCAAGTGCTTATTATGTTATGCAGTGCTATTTATGTCCATGTCTGGGTGGTATTCATAGTGTGAGTGTCAACAGACATACATGTGTACAGCATACAATTCCTCAGTGCGAGTCTCACAATTTATGCTGTGCAATAATGTGCTGTATGTAGGTGACCACGAATCCGCATTTTATGATGTCTATACAAAAAGATGCTTTATAATTTGTTGGCTTGTATAATATGTTATTATATGTTAAATGGTTAGTAATTACAGCC